AGTAGTGGTAAAGATAGATATTTAAGTAATACAGCAATTTGATTGGTCAACTTTAATTTTAAGTAATACTAAAATCTGATTGGCTAATCTGAATTGGACCTATTTGGACCCGGTCCAATTCCATTAGTTCCATATTCCAATTAAATTTTAATTGGAAGCTTCCAATTGACAACACTGTATAGAATCCATATTAAGTTCACACTTATTAATAAATACTAACATAAAAATTATAATCATAAATTTTCATTAAACATATCTATCGTTCTATAGCCTTTATTCTGAACTATTTTTAAATTAAATTCATTAAATTCATCGGACCCCGCATATATTAACTATAGACTTTAGTAATAATATAACTTCATGTTAAAAACTCTAAACCTATTAATCTTTAATTCCTCTCACGATTACTACTAGGGCTAAACCGGCTTTACTGTTATTGCATAAAATTTTAAAGAAAAAAGATTACTTGTCATATATTCGTAAAGGTTAAACCATTTTTTTAATGTTCAAATATCAGAAATCAAAATTAACTTTGAATCTGGATTCGAAAAATTTAATTTAAATGGAAAGAATTTAAATCTATTTACAACATATATGTACTAAATACACAATAATAAATCCGGATATTCATTCAGAATTCTTAATGATTAACTAATATCTGAATAAGAATTCCGGATTTTCTCAATAAATTAGAACCTCCTTTATTCTGATCCAGTCTATTAAATTTATAAAATAAAATAAAAAATCAGACAACACTAGGTATTATAAAGAAAATTGAAGTTAAGAAATTATTCTAGAATTAAAAATTAATAATTATCAAAAGTATTTATAAAAATTGGAATAAACCAAAAAGCATTAATCCTAACATTAAAGCAGAACTATATAGTAATGAACTAGCATCAGATTTTTGACCATTGGTGTTGGATTTTCCATCGCTGCCAGTATTGGAATTGTTCGTTGAAGTTTTATTGGGCATTGGTACACTAGTATCCGTATAAGCACAAGTCGAGTCATTACATAAACATTTATTTCCTATTGGATCCCACCAAACAGTATCACACGTGCTAGGTAGTCTGTGTCTATCACCACCTACGAAAAAGACGCAATAATTTAAATTAGAGTGCATATCAAAAGACTAAAGAAGTGCTGCCAAGATAAAACCCTGTAAGTCATCTGAATTATCCCCGCGTAATTATTTTACGTAATACATATCAGATATACGTATCATTTTTTA